TATTCTCAGGCACGTTTCATTGGTGTGGTCATTTAATTTGGACGTTTCGAAACCGAGTGGACCGACAGACTCAAGGTAGACGTCATTAAAGTTCTGCCTGTCCCCAAAACAATCGTGTTTGTCTGAATTCAGCTCCCTGACTGGCCTTGACAGGACATCTTATCTCAACCCGCCTGGAAGTTTTGTAAACCCGATGCTCTGCCCCCCCCCCCCCCCCGAGGAATTTCCATGGATCTTTCAGAGGAGCCCATTCTGTCATCATTTCAGGACTCTGGATTTGTCTCTGGTTGTCCTCAGCACCCCCCTGAGTGTGCACGGATCTCTCCAGAGGGAACTATTTGAACTGAGTGATTTTCTCTGAACTCTGCAGAGCCTCTGTGTGTCTCTGGCTGCTCACCACCCTTGTGTAAACTAACCAACCCTGTTAGTTGAGAACTCGAGGCTTTCTAGATTTCTGGTCGAAGCAGATGGTCCTCTTGTCCTGATCCTGGTTCTGCTAAAGGTTTCTTCCTCATGAGGGAGTTTTTCTTTCCACTGTCGCCTTCATGCTTGTTCAAGATGAGAGTCTGTGATGGAGTTAAACTCAAAGCTGCTCCTCAGATAATTTATGTTCAGTTATTATTTTTATATATGAATGTTTCTGTTCTGTCCCTGAGACGACTTCTGTTGTGACTTGGAGCTTTAGAAATAAACTGAACTGAATTCAATTTTGCTTCAAGTATAATTTCGTCAAATGATTGGGGTGGCTGAAGATTAATTTATGGTGGCCAAGGCCCCCGTTGGCCACCCTCTGGCTTCGCCATTGTTCCCGACTGTGAATAAATTGCTTCCTCCACTTGCCAGGATCTGCAGTACACCAAAATATTAAAGTACACGTGTATTCTCTGTTCAAGAGAGACGAGGGACATGGACGCTTGTTCTTGATGTCTGGTGCTCTGAGGTCACGTTTGAGCTGGAACTATGAAAACTTTAATTCAATAAACCAAAACTTGAACAATATTTAGAGATGAATGTTAATCAGTCTCCACTGGACTCAACAGGAACTT